GAGTCAATTCCTCCAGTAGCAAATAAACACAGGAGAATTCCAATAAATCTTCGTGGAGCAGTTGAACAAGAGATAACAAGACTGACGAAACAAGACATCAATGAAAAAGCAACAGGACCAACTCCCTGGGTTTCACCAATAGTTGTAGTTCCCAAACATCACGATCCTAACTCTATCAGAATTTGTATAGACATGAGAGAGGCTAACAAAGCCTTACTTAGAGAAAAGCATCCAACACCAACTATTGAAGAAATATTTGCCCAATTAAATGGTGCAACAGTCTTCTCAAAGATTGATTTGAAAGATGGCTACCACCAACTAACATTAGAAGAATCTTCACGGTATATAACAGTTTTCTCAACACATATTGGTTTGTATCAATATAAACGACTGAGTTTTGGCATAAATTCCGCTGCAGAGATTTTTCAAAACACAAGACAACTGTGTTAAACATCAGCGATGATATACTAATCTTTGGAACAACTCAACAAGACCATGATAAGACTCTCAAGCAAGTAATAGAACGTTTGGATAACCATAATTTGACAATCAACACAAAGAAATGCATCTTTAACACGAACAAAATAGACTTCTTTGGATATGTATTCTCTAGCAAAGGCATTTGCCCTGATCCAGACAAAGTCAAGTCTGTCTCTAACCTAGAACCGCCCAGAAACGTACATGAACTAAGAAGCTTCCTAGGAACGTTGAATTATGTTGGAAAGTTCCTACCCCACTTAGCAACAAATACTGCAATATTACGTGAGCTAATTAAAAAAGATCCTCAATGGGACTGGACTGAAAAGCATCACAACGCTTTTAATGATCTTAAAAAACTACTAGAATCAGCACAAAACCTTGCCTACTTTGACCGACAGAAAAAGACGCACCTCTATGTAGACGCTGGTCCCATAGGACTTGGAGCGATCCTCTCGCAAGAACTTAACAACAAAACAGAAGTTATTTCGTACGTTAGCAGAACATTAACTTTAACTGAACTGAAATACAGTCAAATAGAGAAAGAAAAATTAGCAGCAACATGGGCCATACATCACTTCAGAATATACCTGTTAGGAGATCACTTTGTGTTACACACAGACCACAAACCCTTGGTCTCAATCCTACAGAACCCTCGATCAGCTCCAAACGCACGCATTGAACGACTTTGTTTGAAACTTCATCCTTATAAATGTACAGTTCAATACCAAAGAGGCATAACAAATCCGTCTAATTATTTATCTCGTCATCCAACACACAGCCCACCAGAAGCATTTGATAAAAGTGGAGAATACGTAGCTTTTGTAACCAATCATTCACTACCAAACACAATTTCAGTTGAAGAAATCGAAAATGCAATGAAAGATGATTTTCAGTTGCACCTACTGAAAAAGGCCTTGTTAGAAGATGATTCCTTGTTTTGGAAGAAACGAGAACTGCAAAAATTCAAGCAAATCAAACAAGAGCTCACTGTATATGGTAATATTATTCTCAAAGGCAGTCAAATCATAATTCCCAGCAAACTGCAGAAAAACATTATCAGATTGGCACATAAAGGTCATCAAGGTCTCGTTAAAACCAAACAACTGGTAAGAACTAAGGTGTGGTTTCCCAACATCAACAAAATGGTAGAAGAAGTAGTGAAGTCATGCACAGCGTGTCAAGCAGTGACACCCGACAACCAGCGAAATCCGATTCAAACATACCCGACATCCACTCACCCGCTTGAATGTCTAGATGTAGATTACGCCGGACCATTTCCAGATGGAAAATACTATTTCATAATGGTGGATGATTTCTCAAAGTTCTCATTCATCAAAAAAGTACCATCGACCAATTTCAAACAGCTGAAGCCTGTACTTGACGAGACATTTGAACTATTTGGCCTACCAAAAGAACTTAAATCCGATAATGGACCACCCTTTAATGGATACGAGTTGAAAGAATATCTTTCAAGCCTCAACATCAAGCATCATTTGATAACACCACGTTGGCCAGAAGCAAATGGCAGAACTGAGAGATTCGTGAAAACGTTCAAGAAAGCCCTCTTATGCGCAACGATCAACGGCAACAATCCAGACGCAGAAATTCAAGAATTTTTAATCAATTACCGAAGCACCCCTCATTCAACAACAAACTGCCCACCATATCAAGTTATGTTCAACAGAGAAATCAACAACAAATATGAAAAGTACTGTTTTTTTTAAACTATGCTGCCATTGATTTTAAAAATATATATATTTGCGCAAAATATAGATTTTCCCAATTATCGAGACTTGTATGTTTGTCCCAGTTACCGACACTAAGGTGACCTATTATCGATACCCATGTAAGTTCAATGTTTATATCACGGTGTATAATAAGTTAGGTGTTCCGACGAGCGCGTGAAACGTGTCCCCAACTAGTCACAGATTTGGAGTGAGAGAAACAGAAGAGGGCGGCCATCATTTAATCGCACTGACGGGAAAGAGACGGGAGAAGTATTTGTCGGAATTAAAGCCATTTAGGTCAAAAAATCATCAAAATTAATTATCCGTTGTATTAAAATAAAAACTTTAAACATTTTTAAAATAATAATTTATTTAAAAAGATGAATGTAAACTCGTTGTTAAAGATAGTTCTTTTCGCCTTCACATATTATATTAGTTTCACTCACTTCTGTTCGTTTCACAAGATAACTAAAAAATATCCATTAACCATTATCTGCTTTACTGTTTGAGAAATAAAAATTTACCATTATTACGTAGTCTGTAATCGAGACTCTTTTTTTTTTCTGCACATGCCTTGGTTGTTTTCTCTTGTTCCTGTTTATAAAATTGTTTAATTCGTATAATTGTGTAAAAATATATTGCCTTTGAAAATATTTCCATTCTATGCTCTTCACAAGAAAAAGGAAAGTAAATAGTCATAAAAATTTTTGTTGCGAATAGGTCTTCAATTGTTGCAGCGAATACATCCACAAAATCGATATATTTCATAAGTATCCCTTCCACCCATCGGAACATATTAAACATTAACAAATCTGGATGCTTTAACCACCCCCTGGATTTTGTACTAGTAAATTCAGATGTACTAGAACATGGATCTTCTTTGTTATATAACTGTTCACGGCAAATATTACATTTTGAAGTATTGTACAATTTTTTTTGCGACAAATCCAGCTAAGTAATAAATGATGTTGTCAACAATTTTAGTTGTAGTGACATCTTCAAATAGTTGTTCGTCTATTTCGTTAATCGGTGAATCTGTATCTAAAATATATTCAATTTTCCTTTTTATTTTCTCAACATGATTTTTCCCGCATTCTGGTATTTGTTTCAAAAATATTTTTTTTTTAATAATAATAATAATAATAATACTTTATTTTTCTACAGGCTTAAAACCCAATTACAGAAAAATAATAATTAAGAAAAAAAAAACACAAATCATACTATAAAGAAAAAGGAAAAAGCTAGTCATTCTAAAAAAAGAAAGTTCTATCCTAAATTATTGAGTTAGCTCGATAACCTTTTTGATTGTTTTTACAGAGTCAAAATAAATATCGCATTTACTACAGATTTTGTTGTAGTTGTTACACATTACAAATAATGGTGATCTACGTAATAAATTAGTCCTGCATGCATCACAATAGAATGTCACCGTCTGACGTTTGTTTGATCTCGGTACGACAAAGTTTATTTTTTCTAACAACAGACTACAATCCACTTGGTTATTAAGAAGTTTATATAGAAAACATACACTGAACATATTTCGCCTAGTTTGCAACGAGTTCATGTTGAATCTTCTTAACAATAATGAATGGTTATATCCTCTCTCCGGGTATGTTCCATCAATGATGAAGCAAAGACATTTCAAAAATTTACGCTGTACGGATTCCAACTGTTTTATATGTACTTCGTACACTGGTGACCATACAGTGGAGCAGTATTCCAATCTAGGTCGAATTAGTGATGTGTACAGTGATATTAGAACTTGAATGTTATTAAATTCTTTACAATTTCGGTAGATGAAACCGTAGATTTTAAACGATTTAGCTACAACATCCTGTATATGGTTAATAAAAGTAAACTTTTGGTCAAACAATACTCCTAAGTCCTTCATTGTATCCGTTCTATTGATAATCAAATTTTCAATTTTGTAGTCAAAAATAAGTGAAGATAATTTCCTACTGTATGTCATCACAAAACATTTGGACGCATTTAGAGTGAGTCGGTTGATCATACACCAGCGAAGGAGTTGATTGATACAGATCTGAAGTAATTTGCAATCCTCTATACTATTAATTTCCATATAGATTTTTAGGTCATCAGCGAACAATAATTTACTACAACACAGTGATGAGCCAAGATCATTTATAAAAATTAAGAACAGCAGTGGCCCTAAGTTGGAGCCCTGTGGCACGCCAGATGTTGGAACAAAGGGTTTAGATAAATAATTGCGATATCTGACGATTTGTTCACGACCCATTAAGTACGAATTAAATAGTTGTAAAAGCATGCTCCCAAATCCAATTTTATGTAATTTATCTAATAATATGAAATGATCAACTTGGTCGAACGCCTTCTGAAAGTCGGTATATATCACATCCACTTGCTTGTTCTTATCTAGCGCTTCAGACACATCCTGAGTAAAACATGACAAGTTCGTTACTGTGGATCTTTTCTCCATGAATCCATGTTGGAATGTGGACAATGACGGAGTTATAGCGGAGTAAATACGCTTGTAGAGTATTGATTCTAGGATCTTTGCAAAATTGCATAGTGTTATGTTGGGAATTGTAATTAATTAAAGTCCGTACTGAGGTATTACGTATATTCGGTACTGGTGGTACATGTTCGCGGTCCCGGGCCTACTCGGAGACTGCCTACTAGATCTTTACAATGACGGTCCACCCTCTTGGTAGGGGTGGCTCTCTCGCACATCCTCTACATCTTCCTGTTTTTACATTTTTTTTTTCTTTTTAACTTAACCTTTAATTGTCCTAATTATCATGCTCTTAAATATTAATTATAGTAAACAACTCGGTTTCTTAACTTAATGTTACGCACTTCGTCGTTCTGTTCCATGTCATTAACGCTAGCACTCGGTATAGCACTCGCACTATTATTTGGCGCTTGTTCGTCACTGTTTATCACTCCCGTATTTGCACCAATACTCTCGAGTCGCGGAATGTACAATTTTGCCTGACTACCTACTTCTTCCTTCATTACTGTAACGAGCTTATCAGACCAATTAACTTTTTTATCAAATCTACTATCGCTTCGTTTCAGTACTGAAGGTCTTATGAATTTTCGATTTCTGACATATGTTCCTTTATTCTCAACCTTAACCTTATATCTCCTATCTCCTAATTGTTCTAACACAGTGCCTGGATGCCAAATTGATTTTGGCTGTAATTGTATCCAGACTGTGTCTTGTGGATGTAATTTCGATAATTCCTTTGCTCCTTTTTTACGATTGTAATATAAATTTTGCTTGTTTTGATTATCTACTAAATCTTTTCTATATTCATTGCTGTTAATTAAATGTGGTTTTAACTTATTTGATTTTATCGGCAATAAAGGATTCCTTGTAGCTCTTGACATTAATATTTCATTTGGGGAGTTGCCTCCGAACATTGGAGTATTTCTTAATTGTAACAGAGTTAAATCGAGGTCTTTATGGTCTTCAATAGCTTTTTTGATTGTGTTTTTTATGGTTTGAACATGTCTCTCCGCCATCCCGTTTGATTGACTGTGAGTCGGTGATGTGACTTGTTGCACAAAATTCCATTGTTTGGCAAAATTATTGAATTCTTGTGAAGTAAATTGGGTTCCTCCGTCACTTACTAAATATTGCGGCACGCCATGCCTTGCAAACATGCTTTTAAATTTATTTATTATGTGAAAGCTGGTCATATTTTTGCCTAGGTTTTCTACCTCTATATATTTGGAATAATAGTCCACACATATCAGATAATGAATTCCTTTAAATTCGAACAAATCACTGCCCACTTTAGCCCATGGCAACGCTGGTATTTCATGTGACTTAAGTGGTTCTGGCGGCTGAGAATTTCGGTATTTTTGACATGTTGCACATTCGTCTATCATTAATTTAATTTCATTCTTAATTGTTGGCCAAAATACTGATTCCTGAGCTAGTTTTACACATTTATTGTAACCTAAGTGGCTGTAATGGATATTATGGAGGATATTTTTTCTCAATTTTCTGGGAATTACGCAACTATTATTTTTATAAATTATATCGTTTTCAACTGTTAGCTCACTTTTGTAGCGATAATACGGTCTCAATTGATTATTCAATTTTTTGTTAGTTTTGGGCCATCCTGTTAGAATTACCCTGACTAATTCTTGCATTTCCGGGTCGGTTGCCGTTTCCGACTTGACTTTATTGAGAAAAGCGTCTGAAATATTGGCTTCAGTTACGACACAGATTTGGTCATTAAAATCCAAATCCTGGCTGGCACTATCTGGAGCACATGCTCTCGACAAAGTGTCCGCTATTATTAAGTCTTTACCCCGTTTATACGTTAATGTGAATTCGTACTTTTGTAAGGCTAATAAAATGCGTTGCAGTCGCGCTGGGGTCGCGTTTAGAGGTTTTTTCATTAACGCTATTAGTGGCTTATGATCTGTTTCGACTGTTACGTGTCTTCCGAACACATATTCATGAAATTTTGACAGTCCGAACCAAATTGCTAGCAGTTCTTTTGTAATTTGAGGCTGACTGCTTTGGCCGGAAGTTAGTGCTTTTGATGCGTAATGAACTGGCTGGTTTTCTTGCATTAAGCACGCTCCTAGTCCATTCTGACTAGCATCTACGGATACTAATATTGCTTTATTAGGGTCGAAAAATTTTAGGACGGGGCTTTGTGTTAGGAGCTTTTTAATATTTTCGAAAGCGTCTTTATGATGTTGTTGCCAGTCAAATAGTGTATCTTTTTTCAATAATTCCCGTAGCGGTTTCGTTTCAGCTGAAAAGTTCGGGACATATTTAGACACGTAGTTTATGACACCTAATATCCGTTGTAGGTCTAGTTTGCAAGCCGGTTCTTTGAAGTCGTTTATGGCCTGCAACCGATCGGGGTCGATGCCGACACCCTGTCTATTAACAATATGTCCCATAAATTTTAATGTTTGCACCCCGAATTTACATTTACTGTAGTTGAATTTAATATTATTTTTTCGGGCTATTTCTAATACTTGATTTAAAATTTTATCGTGTTCTTCGCGTGAATTACCCCATATTATGATATCATCAATATAAACTGCAACGTTCGGTAAATTAAAAATGTTTCTAAATCTGTCATTAAATACTTCTGGGGCGCATTTAATACCGTATGGTAGGCGCAAAAATTTATATCTGCCGTAAGGCGTTCCCACCGTACAGAGATCACTGCTTGCCTCGTCTAGTGGAATTTGATAAAATGCCTGATTAGCGTCTAATTTCGAAAAATACTTTGCTCCGTGCAGTTTGCTAGTTATCTCCTCCATTGTGAGGAGTTGACAATGTTCCCTCTTAATTACTTTATTTAAATGAAGTGGATCCATGCAAATTCTTAATGACCCATCTCCTTTTTTTACTATGACTAATGGATGCACCCAACTGCTGGGGCCGTCAACTCTCTGAATAATTTTCATTGATTCTAATTTATTTAAAGTTAATTTTAATTGATCCATCAGAGCAAAAGGTACTCTCCTAATTGGCGAAATTATGGGCTGTGCATTTTCCTCAATTTGTATATGATATAACGGATTAATACAACCAATGCCGGTAAACACATCTCCAAATGAATTGGTTATTTTATCGTTGAGGGGAACTTGATTACAGTTCTCCACTGTGTTTATTATTTTTGAATCCTTTATTTCCGACTTCGCCTCGTTTTTTGTAATTAATTCTAGTTCAATACAGGTGTTTAACCCTAGGAGAGGTTCACTACTATCATTTATAACGTAAAATCTTAAATTATATGTATTATTTTGATGCTGGCAATTCAATTGACAGTGTCCTAACAATGGTAACTTATCTCCTGTATACGATTTTAGAGTAATTTTTGATGGTTTTATTAGCGACAAAGGTATATTTAAATCTAGATAATTTTGAACTGGTAAAATATTGGCCATTGCGCCAGTATCCAACTTAAATGTGATGTCTATATTGTTAATTTTTAAATTTGACGTCCAGGCATTGTGTGTCGTTACATCATTTACGCGTACTACATTATTTATCGTGCCTATATAAAGTACATCTTCATCTAGTGTGCTATTACTGTTTATTAACGCATTGATATTTCTATCGGCCCTACACATACTAGCAAAATGATTAGTCTTTTTACATTTACCGCAGGTTTTCTTATACGCGGGACATTTGTTAATTGGATGTGACCTTCCACATCGAGTACAGTTCGTAATGAAGTTCCTACCTGACCCTGAGGAAGTTGAAGGGCCACGATTTCGAGATTTTGATCGTGCTCTGGACTGACCTTGCCGTACCTCCCTTGTCGATCCTTGCCACCCGCCGTTGTTGCCGCTTCCGCCCTGGGATGCGGAGGCTGGTGAATAACGTTGGCCGCCGAAGCCGACTCGATCCACCTGCTCCAGGTCGCCGTCTTTATCACAAGAGTGCCTCATTTTGTTTGCCTGCGATTTTGACTGTTCGATGATAGAGCTCAATTTGATGGCTTTCTCCAAATCTGCATCATCCTCCTGGAGCAATTTATGCCGAATTTCCTCGTTGTTTGTTCCACTGATGAACACTAGTTTAATTAGCTCGTCGCAGAGGTCTCCAAAGTGACAATTTTGGGCTTGTTTCCTCAATTCGGTGATGAATTCTTCCAATGACATCTCATTTTGTTTTGTCTTGAAAAATTTATACCTCGTGAACGTCAGATTTTGTCTAGGGGTGAAGTGATTATTAAATTTGTCAATCACCGCCGCAAGTTTATTTCGTTCCGTTTCTGCGAACTTGAATGTGCTGTGAATTTTTTGGGCTTCTGGACCAGCGAAGTGGAGTAATTGCGCTATCTGGATTGTTTCTTCTTTTTTATTTACTTCCGTTGCGATCAAGTAGATTTGGAAACTACTCAACCATTGTTTCCACTGTTCTCCCGTATTGCCCCCATTGTTGAGAACTAGACGTGGTAGCGCGTTGGCACTTGCCATTTCTTCTCGTGGTGTATTCCGTGCTTTTCACCAGAACACTTTTCACTTTATGTATTGTCACTTTCCACTCACTGTTTTGAATTTTAATTTTAATTAAACTTAGTCGTTTGTCGCAGCGCCATGTTATGTTGGGAATTGTAATTAATTAAAGTCCGTACTGAGGTATTACGTATATTCGGTACTGGTGGTACATGTTCGCGGTCCCGGGCCTACTCGGAGACTGCCTACTAGATCTTTACAATGACGGTCCACCCTCTTGGTAGGGGTGGCTCTCTCGCACATCCTCTACACATAGTAGAGAAATTGGTCTATAGTTAATAATATTAGATGGGTCATCTTTTTTAAGGTTCGGACATATAATGGATTTTTTCCATAAAGTCGGAAAAGTAGATGTTCTAAATATAAGATTAAAGAGATAAAATAAAGGTTCAACTAGAACTGAAGCGCAATCCTTGATTATAAAAAGAAATGTGGTGTCGTGGGACACCAGGTAGGAACGAAGTTCCTTCGGCTAATGTAGAATCGACACAATTTGCAAAAAAAAACGTGCTCAATTTTATGGAGGTTTTCTTGATTTTTCTCTTAAATTTTGCTGATTAGTTTTTATTTAAGTACAGGAAAATATTTAGGAAATTCAGTATTTTAGGAAATAATAAATTACGTAAAATAGGTAGAATTCTCAAAATATATATATATTTAAATGTTTGGAATTGAAGGGAGAATTTGTTTTAATTATTTAAAAAAATAATCAATAAACTTTTTAAATATTGTCACTAGTTTAGAGGATATCTTTGCTTTATATCGTAACTTTCTTGCTTATTTTCATTTTTTTTAGCTTTTTCGCGTTCCCTATACGCTTTTTGATACTCTGCTTTGCCATTGTTACTATATTTATTATTGTTTTGACGATTTGAAATTGTATGAAAATAAACGTGGCTACTCACGAGTAAAATGTATCTATAATGTGCGTATTCGCCACGTGCTTGTCCATGAATTCATGAGTATATACTATGCATTGGCGGGGTGGAGTGGTAATAGAGAGAGAAGGGATAAGAGAACGAAAAGTGTTTAGGACATTTTTTATATTTTGTCGGTGCGGTCTCCACGTGTTGGCGGTGTCTTTGTAAGGCAGCTGCAGGTGTGCGGACCTTCAACCTTGTGTGGCGGCACAATAACACGTCGGTAAGCAGAGAATAAATAAGTCGTCTCGTGGTGTGGTGGTAAGCATTCGTGCCCGGAGACCAAAGAGACGTGGGTTCGAATCCCACCGAGGCACAACATTTTTTCTCTGCTTACCTACACTTGTAAGGCGGCCGCCGTCTGAAGTGCGGCTCGCACCACCTCTGGTCGCGCCTGCGCACGTATCATTTAACGGTTTTATTCCACGGAGTTTTCGTTACGGTTTTAGGATCACATTTGTTTCAGTTCGGTCGTGCAGCAAAATTCCTATCTCCTCCAAGCCTGCCGTAAGGAACTTCGTTCCAATAAAACTTGGGATTCCATCAACTCCCGACGTGAGTGAATCTTTGGCTCTCTTCATTTCACTGATTATCTCCTCTTTTGTAATATGCGTAATTGTCACATTAACGTTGGTTGATTCTAACAAATTGACATCCCTGTTTGTTCCCGTGGACTGGATATACACACTGCTAAAATAGTCATTGAAGGCGTTAACTATATCTTCAGGTCTAGTGATTTCAGTGTTGTTGCTACGCATTACTCCAGGAATCCTAGTACTTCCTCTTTTATTGCTTATAAATCCCCAGAATTTTTTTGGATCATCAATCAGCGCGTTTTCAACATTTCGTAAATAAATTGTGTATTCTCTTTTTATTAATGCTTTCGTCTGTTTACGGTAATTGCAGAATAAGTTAAAATAATATGTTGTCCTCCTTCGTTTATAAATCTTATAATAATGTTCCTTATTCCTAATACATCTAATAACTTCATCAGTAAACCACGGTGGATAATGACGTTTTTGGTGTTTTACCTTTAATTTCGGTATGTGTACATCAAACAGTTGGTAATAAGCATTCACGTTCGGTAGAAGTAACTGACAGAAACTTTTCTGTGGTTAAGTTGCAATCTTAAGATCACTAGAAATTTAAGATTGGCATCAACTGTCTAATTTTCTAATTCAAATGTCAAATCTGAATTGTGTGGAAAAAAAACGAAGTTTTTCTAATTTCAACACGCTTTGTTTCAAGAAAATCCTTAAATACAGCATGGAAACAATTTCCATAAAAGTAATCACGAGAAAGCTCATTTTAAAGGAAAAGAAACAAGAAATATTTGGTGGTTTTCAAAAAATTGGGTAAAACGGAAACAGTTAAACTGGTGGCAGAAATATTCTCCGTAAAGTTCGCTAGTGTTGTCGAGTGTGTTTCGAATTTTAAAATAATACAGATACAGCGGCGCTTGTGCCGTTAATACAATAATCAGAATCAGAAAGACGACTGCGCAGATTTATATACCTACATGCTTTGTTGGTGCCGTTCTACAATTGGTTTTTAAGTTTTATATAATCGTTATTGTTTTGTAAGAGGGAAAACACTCGGCTTTGAAAATAATTGTACGTAATACACGTATAAACTTAGGTTTCCGAAGGCGAAGTTTTTCACATTTTAAAAACGTTATAGCTGCCAGAATCAAATTTCTAACGCAGTATCTCGAATTGCGTGATAGTGATGAAGATTTACTTTTCATTTTCTTGGATGAGACATGGATATACCAGAACGGATCCATGGTGAAATTGTGGATCCATGATGATGACATCAAAGCTTGTCCTCCTAAAAAGACTAGTGAGGGGAAAAGATTCAAAATTTTACATGCGGGTTGCTCTTTGGGCTTTTAGAGGGATGCGATTTTCTCCTTGGTTCAAAAATAGATTCACCAGATTACCACAAAACCATCACATTTTCGATATTTGACCTTTACTTACTTACATGTCACATTTTTGATACCTACTTTCTGACATTCCAGTAATACATTATACACTAGAACAATTATGTCCGCAGTTACACAGCTTAAAAAAAAAAGTTACCAAATCTAGTTACATCTACCGAACGTGAATTCCTTATAGATGCGTTTATAGAACGCTTTGCAGGCATTCTCGCTGTTAGTTATTCTTTGCATAAATGTCCAATCCATGTCACACAATGATTTATATAATGCCGGAAAGTTAGCCTTCTTAAAGTTGTATGACTTAGAGGTAGCTGTCATTGAAAACTCTTTTTGCGGTTTGTTGCGATACATAAAGTGAATACACAATGATGGGTGGTGGTGGTCTTCTTGTACCATGTAGGATACAGATCTTTGAACTGCACAAGTTGTATTGGAAAAAACAAGATCAAGTATATTATGATATAAATTTTCAACTGTGTTAAACTGACGCACATTAAAGAAATTCATAAAATTATTTAAAGTCAAGTTATATCTATTATTTGGATCTACATTGAAGGACGGGGTATTAAAGTCTCCAATTATTATGATATCATGCTTGCAGTGCCCGTAATTGTTTATAAAACAATCAAAAAACGTAGAATAATCATCAAATGATGTAGCTGGTGGTATATATAAAACGAAAATATAAAGTTTAATATTGTTAGGATATAATAAGCTTACACCAACTAAATCAATTCCAGGAACGGAGTTAGCAAGAGCTGAAGTATCCACGGCGACCGATGTAAAATTATTACGTACCGCTAGCAATACTCCACCTCCTCTTGTAGATTTCAGGATTTCGAATTTCCTATCACATCTGTACACATTATAACTGCTCGAAAAAAATTCAGTGCTTGATATGTCACTTGACAACCATGTTTCACTTAGAGCAATAAGATCAAACTCCTGTAATGCAGAAAAATTATAAGCTTCGTTTACTTTGGTTCGTAATCCTCTGACGTTTTGGTAAAAACAAGAAATAGGAGAAGTGCAATTGGGTGATTTAATCAGTTTAAATTACTAATAATCTTTGGGATCCCATTCTGATATTTAAGGCTTAAATTCTTTTCACCATTAGCAGTACGAATGAAAAGTTGTTGTTTAAGCGTTTTATAATAAGCGAGTTGACGGGGTGTACGATCCGAAGACAGAGAGATGTGCTTAAATTGATCATGACTTTTTAACACTCTAGCATTTCGGAGTATACCAATGACGTCTTCCTCATTATTAAGGGTAATTCGTATAGGTCGAGGGTGTGTATTAGTTTCAACATATTTACCCAGTCTTCGTACTTGACTATTTGTTAGTTGAAGATCCGGTTTAATAGTTAATAAGATCGACTTTACCTCTGCATTCTCTGCTTCAATACGTTGCTCCTTGTTGATTGCCGATGTTGATTCAGCATGTCCATAGACAATTATATTAACTTTTCTCTTTTGACGTTCGGTAAATTCCTGGACAATGTCTTCGAATTCCATTTTTTCTGGTGTTACTAAGCTAGCTTTGTTTTTGAGTTCATTAATTTGTTCTTGCAAGTTCTCTTTGAGCTGATTTATAGTGGTAGTAAATTGTGCCTCAAAAGACGTCATGAGGGCTTTCATGTCTTTGAACTGACTGATATTTGCATTACATGTATTGCAGACAACTTTAATCGCTTTTGACTTAGAACGTGTCAGTTTTGCTTCATTTTCTGAAAGGCCTAAACAGCTCAGATGCAAGTAGCCCTGACAGGCATCACAGTTAATGAGACCAGTTTTATTTTTGTCGCCTATGCCACAATTTACGCATGTAAACATTATGTATTACAAAAGTGAGTGGAACAGGACAGGAACACAGTTCTTACGCAATTAATAAGGGTCTTATGTTTGAATCGCCGCCACTTTCCCGCGTTTTTCCTCCTATGATCAGCTGTTCGCGTGCTCGCGCACTTCTGAAAGAAGACACACTCCGGTCGACCCGTCGGAAGTGTGTTTCTTATCACCTTATCAGTTTGCACTGCGTTTTTCTATGTACTACCTTGTTAACGTAGTTATATATCACGTTGCCTTCACTTTGAT